GTGTGTGTGTGTGTGTGTGTGTGTGTGTGTGTGTGTGTGTGTGCATGTGTGTCTGTGTGTGCGCCTGTAATGAGTTTTCGTCTCGAGATCCACAAAAGCTACAGGGCTGGAACTTTGATAACTTAACCTACTCATACGTGGGGGCTCTTATCCTCAGAATAGACGCTCACCTCTGCGTGGTTCTCACATACGGGCACATGATAGTTTTTTTGGCAGGAAAGCGTTTTCTGGGACGGCGCAACTTTACTGAGATGTTCCTTGGCCGCGTCTTATCCAGAGGTTTTAAATTCAGCTTTCACGCACCCCTACTTTTAAACTGCCATCATGCCAACTCCAGATCTAAGCTACATGAGAAGTAGGGAGCTACAATTTTGGAGCCTTACTTGTTACCTACTGTTGTGCCCGTGAAAGTAAATTGAGCTTTTCAGCCCTTCTGCATCTCACGTACAGACACGTGAAAATTTCAAGGAGACACTTTTGTTATTTCAGAACTGAAGCAGCTAGAGGACTGGAACTTTCTGAACATAACCGGCAGTGGCCTTTGGCCAGATGGACGTAAAAACAACTTTCATGTCTCTTTCATGTCTCACGCACGAACACGTGAAATTTGACGTAACTCCACAACCAGCGTAGCTGGAGAGTTGAAACTTTCTGAGCGTTGCCCAGGCCCGTGTTTGAGCAAGCACACGTCGACAGCATTGACGTTTTCACGCACGTGCGAACATGCGAAATTTGATGTAACTCCGTACCCGAAGCATCTAGAGTGCTGAATTTTTCGGGCATTGATTGGGAGTCATTGAAATAATTTCTAACAGGCGTGGTGGCTACTCTCAATTCTCTTAGCTAGAAGCATCTACTGGAAAAAACAGTGCCATTAGCAACAGAAACTTGCGAAAGAACTGTGCAAAAAACGCATCTTCGCACCGGCAGCCAGTGCTCTGTCGACTAAGTTTAAGCTCTGTTTATGCGCGTGGGGGATAATATCTACGAAACTGCATGCAGTCGATTTAGTTCATTTATGCAAAGAGTGCGTTCGCGTCATTGTCGTCCGTGTGAGTAGCCGGATAGCTTATGATGAGCAGCACAGTTTGTTTCCCTGTTACTTCTATTTTCTGAAAAGATTTGCGGTCGTTGCATGTTTTTAGGGTACTCGGTATTTGTTGTGGAAGGTATATTGCCGCCGTGCGCTGCAGACGAGCAACTTAGTCAGTGTCCAGTGAATCCGGCACTTGCAGCCTTCAGTGACTCTTACCGTGACGACCAGTCCCAGGATCCCAATATTGCACGTGCCATTGCTGTTTCTCAGGTAATTTGTTTCATTGTTCTATTATTTACTAAATGCTTAATTATACGGCTACCTGCAGATCTGTCTTGTTGGGATCTACGGTTATGCTTTCTCATATTCACTTTCGTGCTCATAGAAGATGCTGGAGCTTCTGTGTGCTTTGAATAACAGCGTTCATATTATCGGGTAACCTTCTAGCGGAACCCATTTTGCGAACACTGTTCACAGCGTACGCTGGAAGAAACTTAGCTTCGTGCGTTGGGAGTGCAGTTCCCAATGTGCTACTAGAATGGACCGAAGTTTCTAGTCCCTAGCCGGGCATGCCCTGTGTGCACTGGCGTTCGCATGATTGTCGCGGGTTACATTCACGCTGATGATCGTAACATTCACCCATCCATAGTGCAGAAGAGTACGGAAAGGACTTGGAAAATCGTGATTGGCGGGAGCGACGAATAAGGATTCGTTGGGTATCAGCAAATAGACATAAATAGTGCGAGCCAGAACAGCCGGCGCAGTCATATGTTTTTTACATTTCCGTTCACCAAACAACTGCCTACTATTGATTTTCACTGCGTTGCACTTTGGTCTGTGTTTCTTAAGTTGCGGAATTTCCCACTAAAGATTTCACGCACCAGCACATGAAAGTTAAATTTGAAACTTCGAAGGGGAAATATCCTTCCTCAATTTCAATTTCCTAGTTTTCTGTTTTTTGAGTGATTTTTGCGACAAAATTCTCACGTGTTCGTACGTGAGAGCTCGGCATACTTGAAACTGAATTCATGTTTGTGGAGCCCCTCCTTAGGCAGGGAATAGCCTCTTGAAATTTTTAGCCTCCTAGCTTTTTGGCTCACGAGATAATGATTTTTACCGCCAAAACTTCCACCAGTGCGCTGGAAACTTGCGGAATCGTATGTGGGCAGGGGATGTCACGCTAAAATCTTAGCTTTCTAGCTTCTACAGTTCATGAGATAATTATTTCCCTATCAGAACTTTCAAGGGACCGTACGTAATACCCAGGGTGCATGAAGGTTGAGTCTAAATTTGCGAGGTTTTACGTAGGTAAAGGGTCCCCTACTTCTGCGATTCTCGAGATAATTTTCTCCGCTGAAACTTTCACGAGGCAATAAGTGATAATCAGGCTTGCGGGAAGACTGAATTTAAATTTGCGGAAATGTATGTGGACGAGGGACATTGCCGCAGAATTTCAGCTTCCTGGCTTTTATGATTCCCAAGATAATAATTTACTCGCCAAAGTTTTCACGGGGCGGTAGATGATACCCGAGAGCGTGGAAACGCTTAGTTTGAATTTGTAAGGTTGTGCGTGGCCAGGGAACATATCCATAAAAGTTCATCTTTCTAGACCCCGTAGTTCCTGAGACAATAATTTACTTGCTAAAAGTTTTGCGGAACAGTAAGTGATATCCACAGGTTGGGAAAGGCTGAATTTAAATTTGAGAGGTCGCACGTAGGCTGGGGACATATCCATAAAAGTTCAGCTTCCTGGCTTCTGAGATAGTAATTTTCCTGGCCAAAACTTTTGCGGGGTCGTACGTGTTGCCCGCCGGCACGGAGAGGCTGAATTTGAATTTGCGGGGTCGCACGTGGGTGGAGAACATCAGCTTCCTAGCTTTTGTGGCCCTCGAATTGAAAGTTGCCGATAGGTTGATGATGACACATACAGATAACCCCGTAACAGTATGCGTTTTCATGCGTTTTGCGCTGTGTAACAGCAGCACTGTGTGTGTTTGTGTGTCCGAGTACGCTTTGCCCTGCACTTTCAACTCGAGAACCACAAAAGATAGGCGGCTGGAATTTTGGGGTATTGGTCCCAGCTAACATTCGGCTCCGCAAATTTAAATTCAGCCTTCCCGTACCCGCGGGTAGAACATACGGTTCCGTGAAAATTTTAGCATGGGAAATTATTATCTTAGGAACCACTGGAGCTAGGAATTTGAAGTTTTGTGGGTGTGTTCCCTGCCCATGTGCAACTCAGTACTTAAATACAGCCTTCCCGTTCCCGCAGGTAACACGTACAGCCCCGTGAAAGTTTTGGCGAGGGATTTATTATCGTGAGGGCCACGGGAGCTAGGAAGCTGGAATTTTATGGGTATGTTGCCTGCTGACGTGCGACCCAAAAAATTTAAATTCAGCTTTTCCGTGCGCTTGAGTTCCACGTGTGGTTCCGCGAAAGTTTGGCGGGAAAATTGCCCTGGGAACCATGAGAGCAAGGAAGCTGAAATTTAACAGGAGTATTTCCTGCTCTCGTGCGACTCCACAAATTTAAAATCAGTTCTTAGACAAGCCTGGGTCTCAGTTAAGCCCCCATGAAAGTTTCGTTGGGAAAAATTACAATCTCGGAAGCCATAAAAGATAGGAAGCTGAAATTTTGGGAGAATGCGACTTCGCAGAATCAAATGCAACTTTCACGTACACCTGGGTCTCTTATGTAGCCCCGCGAAACTTTTGGTGGGGAAAATTGTTGTCTCAGGAACCAGAACAGCTGTGAGGCTGAAATTTTAAGAGGATGTTTTGTGCCTGCACAGACACCTCAGAAACTCAAATTTATCTCCCAACTATACCAAAGTCTTACGTACGACCACGCGAGAGTTTTAGTGCGAAAGTCACTAGCTCGGAAGCCGGGAGACTGGGAGGTTGAAATTTGGAAGGATGTTCCCCGTCCAAGGTTTCAGATCCTGTTTTCACATGCTGGCAGTTCAGATTTCAGGTGAGGAATTCGTCAGCTTAGGAGCCAAACAGCATATTGATTATTTTTTCCACACGCAAAAGTGTAAAGCAGTAAAAATCCTTGGGAAACAAATGTCCGCTCGACGGAATTACGCAAAACGTATGATCTTACCAGCTACCCTGGTGCGCGTCATTATTTATGTGCTGCCGTTACAAAGTACGAAACTCATAAAAAAAAGAGAGGGCAAATATCTAACGTTTGGAACCAGTCTCTGCGAAGCAACGTTATTTAATGGCATAGCCAGTATCGAGCAAAGAGATGGATCTTACCTAGTGTTTTCCTACTTTCACACTTTTTGTTAT